GTCTCTGACGTGCCGCCCCGGCCCCACCCCTTTCAGGCAGAAGAACCTTTCCCCGAATCCGGCGTCACCAAGGCAACCTGTTCACGCTGGTGCCCTCCAGCCGCTCCCTGAGCACGAACGGCGAGAACATGGGTCTGGCCGTGCAGTACCTGGACCCTCGCGGGCGCCTGCGGAGTGCAGACAGCGAGAACGCCCTTTCTGTTCAGGAGAGGACTGTGCCAACCAAGTGTGAGGAGCTGCCCGGCCAGCAGGAGGCCCGGCTGTGGGGGAGGGGAGCCCCTCCCCACTGCCCTGGAGACGCCAGGACCCCAGGCCTGATTCCACTGTCGGGGACGGCCACTGCCCCTCTCGTCTCTCTGAGCTCTTCCTGTTAGACTGAAGAACACGCCCTGGTCCCTGCTGTGTGAAGATGCTTGGGGTGCTGGAAGTCGGGAGGCGATGGGTGCAGAGGGCTTGTCACCGTGGCTTAGTTGGTCCCCTGCTTCTCGGGGCCTGACTTGCCACCCGAAGACCAGGGCCCGGGGCTGCACCGGACTAGGGTGGAGAGGCTGAGCTGGGAGATGCTAGGGGGCCAGACCGGAGCGGGCGCCGGACAAGCAGCAGGACATCAGAAGTGAGGGGCTTGAAGTAACGCTCCCCTTCTGTCCTCCTGCAGCTCCCAGTGCCCCCATCAACTGGCGCCGGGGGAAGCTCCTGGGCCAGGGTGCCTTCGGCCGAGTCTACCTGTGCTACGACGTGGACACGGGACGCGAGCTTGCTTCCAAGCAGGTCCATTTCGACCCCGACAGTCCCGAGACGAGCAAGGTACTGTCTGTGACTCCCACCTCTGCCATCAGAGCGCCCGTTGCCACCAGTGCTTGCGAGGCTGTGGGTCACGTCCCGGGCCATCCTTTCTCTGTCCCCGCTGTGGCCTCCTGGGCCCTGGGATGAGGGACTGTGGGCCCCGAGCCCCAAGCACCTGGGGAGACCCTGGGGGCCCAGCCAAGGCCAGAGCACCCCGCAGGGCAAGCTGAGAGGTGGCGCTCGGGCCCTGGTGAGCAGACGCCTCTGCCCAGGCCTCAGGGTGCCTGGTCTGGCTCTGGAGGAGTCCCCAGCCTGTGGCCTGCGCTTCCCGAGTGAACGAGGACACTGGCGCCCGAGCTGAGCCCCCCGGCTCTGGCTGCCTCCTGGCTGCCCCTTCCATGTGTGGCATGCTGCCATCCTGGGACGGCCGCACGGTGGTCCGGGCTGCGCCTTGGAGAGGGCCAGGGCCCCCTTTCTCCGGCCCAAATCCCTAAGGCAGGGCCCTGAGGCCACCCCGGTGGGCTGGGCCCTGGAGCCAAGGCGACCCCGCCCCGCAGGAGGTGAGTGCCCTGGAGTGCGAGATCCAGCTGCTGAAGAACCTGCAGCACGAGCGCATCGTGCAGTACTACGGCTGCCTGCGGGACCGGGCCGAGAAGACGCTGACCATCTTCATGGAGTACATGCCGGGGGTAGGTGCCTGCGGGCAGGAGACACGCCCAGGGCCGGCCCCGGGCTGCGGCCACCCTCGCCACGGCCCTGCCCGCCCAGGGCCCGAGGCCCCGGGGAGCAGGACTTGGGTCGGTCCGGCCTCAGCCGCGGGAGCGAGAGGACGAGGGTCCCAGGCCACCCCTCCCGAGCTGGTGGCGCCAGCGCGTCGTCCAGCAGGTGTGGCCCTCGCTCGCACGGGAAGAGCTTTCCACACGCTTCCCCATGCTGCCCAGCAGCGCCAGCGGAGCACCCGCATGTCCAGTGGGAACGGGACGGTCACTTGGCCGCGGTGCTAGAGGCCGGAGCAGCTTGCCCTCGTCCTCCTCCCTGAGTGCCGTCTCGCCTCCGCGCAGGGCTCCGTGAAAGACCAGCTGAAGGCCTACGGGGCTCTGACGGAGAGCGTGACCCGCAAGTACACCCGGCAGATCCTGGAGGGCATGTCCTACCTGCACAGCAACATGATTGTGCACCGCGACATCAAGGGTGAGCGCAGCGCAGCGGCTGGGACCCAGGCCCGGCCCCGTCGGCCGC